TGCCCCTAGACACCCCAGGAGGGCATGGGCAGCATGTGCCCTTGGATCTGTGAACAGGGCAAGGGCAGGCTGCTGCTGTGGGCTGGGGTTGGGGCTGGAGGTGGCGCTGCGCTCTTCCCGGCGGAGGGGCTGGGATGGGGCTGTGCTCAGGGCGGGGGTGACAGTGCTGGGAGGGGGCTACAGGGTGGGCAGCAGCCACCCCAAAATTCACCATAGCCCTCCTCCCAGCACTGCTGTCGCCCGTCCCATGAGCAGCCCTGGCCCAGATCCCCTGCCGGGAAAAGATTCCCGGCCCCAGCCTGCAGCGGGAGCCTGCCATCACCCTGCGTACAGATCTGGGGCCACTTGCCCCCCATGCCCTCCCGGGGTGCACACAGCATTGGAAGCTACCCCCCACCCAGTGCCCTGCCCTGGCTGTGCAGCGCCTGTCCTTGCCCCAGACCCACTCCATCTCATCACGGGGACCTCGATTTGTGTGTACCCCCCCATGCCCCTTCCCTCACAACAGACTTACTAGCCAGACCTGACTGTACTCCTGGCCACTTGTATGTTGCACTGAGGCTGTGCACATGCACAGAGCATTTATTGACGACATCATCGGCCATATCAGCCAAAAAGCCGTTTGCCAGTACTGTCAGTTTTCCTTATATCAGTGCCAATCCGATATGGGACTGATGTATTGGTGCACTTCTAGTCATTAATTGTACTGTTCAACCCGTTCACAATATCAATTTCCCAGATTGCTTTCAGTAGTCACCGGGAGATCTTTGCTGACTTTAGTAGACTCTCGGCCAATTCAGGAGGGTTGGCAACCCTATCCCTGCATGCTCCTGCCTGCAGAACCTGTGCTCATTGCAGGGGCGTGTGGGCAGCGGATTGCAGCTCTGCCCTGGCCCCGGCCCCCATCAAGATCCTGGGGTCTGTCCAGTCCCACCCGCCCATCTTGCTTCCGGCTGTGTCCCCATCCTGGCCCCGCACCCTGCATGCATGGGTCCCACCCCAGTGGCGGGTGGGAGGTGGATGGTCCTGCCCAGGCAGCAGGGCTGGTGGCAGACAGAAGGAGCTGTTGCTGCAGGGGCTGCTGGGCAGTAATAGGCCAGTCTGGTCCACAGGCCAGACTTTGCCCACCCCTGATGTAGGTAATGCCTAGAATATGACCTTGTAGTTAGAGTTCTCTGCTGGGAAGCAGGAGATGGAGGTTTAAATGCTTCTGAGGGAGGCCTAAAACCTGCATCTCCTGTCTCCTGGGTAAGTTCCCTAACCACTAAGCTGTTGAGCTAAAAGGAGAGAAGATGCTTCTTTCCCACAACGTGATTTCTCTGTGCTTAAAATGTTGGGACTTGCATGGACATAAGGCCAGGTTTAGTGGGTTCCATATAAACACTTTTGTGACCTCTGTGACTTAAAAACAAAAGAGTAGAGATATTTACATGAGTGTTACTGGCCCCAGTCCTTAAAAGTATTTAAGTGTACTAATCTTTCAGTGAGTTGCATCTGGGGTTCAGGCACATGTTTATAACTTATTTTTAATGGGAAAGCTTTTCTAATTGAAATATCAGGTAAGATATGGCTAATCTTATTTATTTTTTTAAGTTTTTTGAATTCTCTTTTGAGCAGTTGTCCATATACAGTGTCAGTTTTGGGAATGCTCAGCTCCTGGCCTTGGGAAGCTTTTTACTTGACTTATTTATTTAAATGTTCCTATTGGTACCTGTAGAATGAAGCCCAGCTCCTTTTCTGGTATGCCTTCAGTGTTGAAGGGATAAAGGGCGCTGCACATTTCCCACTTCAGTTCCTCTTAACCACCAGGCAGGAAACAAGCATTTGGGTATTTTCTTATTCAAAGCCTGGCTACCCTTTGTTTGTTTTGCAGTTTTTATATTTATTTTCTTTTATTCCTCCAACCTTAACTTCAGAATTAAGGGCCCCCTTCTTTTGGAGGGTTGTGGGTTTGGCTTTCTTGTGTCCACTCTCCTTCCCAGTTTTGTTCCTGACATTATTTCTGTACCGTGCAGCACCGCTATCTTTGTTCCTCAACTTTGTTTGGGACCAGGGCCATCCAGGTTACATATTGACAAATTTGTATTTTAGCCTTTTAAAAGGGGAAGGGAAGCTGCTGTTCAGGAGCTTGCATGAGCTGTTATGATCCAGGTCCAGAATCTGAGTGCACAACCTTCATAATTCTGTTGGAGACAAGTGAGTTAAATTCCCCTGTCTCTGATTCTGAAAGCAGCAGGGTTGAAGTTGCAACAGTTTTGAGGGGTGTAGGTTGTAGCCATGTTGGTCTAAGGACATAGGCAGACAAGGTTCCTTGGGTGAATTTGATATCTTTTATTAGACCAACCCAAATAGTTGGAGAATAGTTACTAAGCAAACTTTCAGGTTCAAAAACCCTTTGTCAGGCTAAGCAAGTTTCAGCAGTTGGTGTGTGCTCTTCCTGGATGGAATGAAAAGTAAAGAAGCCAGGGCCTGGGCTGGGGAGTCAGTTGCCAGGCAGATTATAATGTGTCAAAAATCCAATGTCTATGTTTAGTCCCTGATCTCTAGTATCCAGCAGGTTGATGAAATGGAGTTCATAGGTTCGTCTCTGGGAAGTGTTGTGTAAGTTTCCCTTGAGGATCAGGACTGAGAGATTGGAGAGAGAGAGAGTGGCCCTCCTGTGAGAAATGTGCCCCCACCGGTAATTGGGTGTTTCTGTCTTTGATAGATTTCTGGTGTGCGTTCATTCTGGTGCGTAGTTGTTGTTTGGTCTCTCCTACATATTTTCCATCAGGGCATTTGGTGCATTGGATGAGGTATATTACATTTCTGGAGGTGCAGCTGTAAGATCCTGGGATGGTGATGGCTCTGTTGTGGGGTGTAGTAATAGTGGGAGTGGTGGAGATGTGTTGGCAGGTTTTGCATTTCTTCTCCTGGCACAGTCTGGATCCTTTTGGTGTGTTCTGGGCTTGAGGAAGTTTGCTTCTGGTGATGAGGTTGGCGAGGTTCGGTGCTTGTTTGAAGGCTAGGATGGGTGGCTCTGGGAAGATCTTTTTAATACACTTGAATTGGTATAGATTCAGGCAGATATAATGGTTGCATCATAACAGCTTGTTTCAGTATCTTTTGATATTAATACAGTTCTTGCATCTTCTATACTTAAAGCTGAGTCGGAAAATAGCCTTTTGAGGGAGCGAAGTTATTTAATTCAAAAGCAGCCAAGTCTCCATTCTTTTAAAGATTCAGACATCACCCTTTTGTCACTAAGTTTTTACCTGGCTGCACCTAAACTTAAACCTTAATGGTGAATAGCATTTGCTGCCCTATACTTTCCCTATTTCTCATGCTTGTTCTGTCCTAGGGAATATTCTAGGAGGAAGCAGAATTTTCAAAGTTGTAAGCACTCTCCTGTCTTCTAGTTTTTGGAGGAGAGAGGGGAAAAAGAAGACCTAGCGAATTATAGATCAGTCATACTTAGGAAGTCACTGGAGAAAATTTATAAAAAATATGTTTTTAATATCTGGAGGAGGAAAAGCTGATCACTTGCATCCAGCATGGAATTTTTAAGAACAAATCATGCTAAACCATTCCGATCTTTGACAAAGTAACTAGTTGAGTGGATGAAGGGATATCTATGGACATATAGTGTACTTGTACTTTTAGTAAGGTTTTTGATAAAATCCCATGGGACATTCTCAAGAGCAGATGTGAGAAATGTGGTCTAGATAGATAATTGGCTCAATAACTTCAAGAGAAGGATAGTTATAAACAGATCAATGTCAGAATGGCAGGAGGTTTCAGGACATGTTAGTTAATTATTTAGATGGCAGAATAGAGAGCTTCCCAATCAACTTTGAAAATGACACAAAACTGGGAAGGATCATAAACACTTAGGAGGATAGGAATAGAGCTTGATATTAGAGAGCTTGATTAGAGACTACAGAATTAAGTTCAGTGCAGACTAGAATATTATTCTAGTTCTGGCCTCCAGTTTTTTTAAGGGTGTGGAGAAACTGGAGAGGGTCCAGAGTAGGAGACAAAAATTATAAAAGGATTTCAAGACAAACAGTATAAGGAAAGGTCAAGGGTGGGGTGGGGGGGCACATTTAGCTTGGAGAAAAAATAGTTAAAAGGAGACATGATAGCAGTTTTCAAATATTTGAAAAATTGTCATGCAAAAGACGGGGAGCAACATTTTTTCCCTTGACACAGAGGGCAGGACATGAAACATTGGCTTTAAGTTGTAGCACAGCAGACCAGGAAAAACCTTCCATATATTCTAACAGTAAGACAGTAGAATAGCCTGTCCTGTAGGTTTTCAAGAAGCTGGATAACCATCTGTTAGGGATAATTTAGGACAGTTATGTTCAACCTTCAGCTCACAGGCCAGATCTGGCTTATGGGGATCCTTGCAGTCCAGAAACTTGACAGTGGGGGAGTGATGGCAATTAACACTGCCACCATCCCTCTCAACCCTCCCATCTCTCCAGCTGTATTTCCAAGCCCTGTGTCCAGATGACTTGGTCCCATGCATTGGATTGGGCTGGCGTGTAAGGCCAGGGCACAATACAGAGCATAGGTTTGAGGTCCATGGAATGAATCTGCACCACTTATCTAACCTACAGCCCAGAAAGGTTGGGCACAACTGGTTTAGGAAAAAAAATTCTGCATTTGTGCTGGGGGTTGACTAGGTGATGCATGAGGGTCATTATCTCTTTGGATAAGGAAATTTGGTTTGTGCAGCACCTAGTACATTGGAAACCCAGCTCTGACTAGGGCCCTGGCTAGTGCCACTATCATAATACATATATAACAGAAATAACAACAGAAAATTTCTTCACAAATGGTTTGAGTTCCCTTTTAAATACTGCTGCAATTATTGATTAATAGAGGAATATGATTGAAAAATTAGGAAATGTGTTAGACTGCAGATAAATATTCCCACTCAGTAGTGTGCCTTGTATACTAATCCCGAAATGTACCATGAAGATTGTAACTTTTTCTACTCTCTTTCCTTTCAGGTATGGACATGGCTATGAGATTTTTTGTGTTGCATGCAACAATTCAAAGACTGTAATTGCTTCAGCATGTAAAGTAAGAAGAGAGATTCTAATATTGCCCTGTAAAAGGAGTTTATGCCTTATCAGATTGACAGGGATTGTAATTTAGACTCAAGGACAGGATTGGGAATCAGGATTTAGGGTTTGGCAATTAAGGATTCAGGTCTTAAACCAGGGTTCTGCTACTGAAATTAATGTGTGAATTTGGGCAGGTTAGACTGCCACAGTTTGCCCATCTCTAGAACAAATACACTTCCTTACAGACATGGGAATGCACAAAGATTGTATTAATAAATGATATATGATGTATTTAGTGTTGAGCAAGTTCAGAAGTAAAGATAATGTTATATTTCATACATATAGTGCTGTCAGCTTCTTCCAAGGGCTAGTAGAAAGTTTATGTGGACAAATATTTACAGTACTATCACAACATGTTATTGAAAATAGAACATGAAGCTCCCTAAGGCAAATTGGGTAACTCAGTTGCAAGCCTAAAAAAATGCTATTATTTTACAGCTAGTCATTTGTTTTTCTTTGTGCTGTATTTTATTCTCAATGATTTTTGTTCATGTCTTTACAGGCTTCTAAAAAAGAACATGCAGCAATTATTTTGTGGAGCACCACTTCTTGGAAACAGCTGCAAAGTTTATCTTTTCACAATCTGACTGTTACCCAGTTAGCATTTTCTCCTGATGATAAATTCTTATTAGCAGTTTCTCGAGATAGGAATTGGTCACTGTGGAAAAACCAAGATAAACCATCCCATTTGGGTAAGCTATATTGAATGAGTGTGTTCATTTAAAGAGATGTCAACATATTAAACTAGCATAACTAATTAAAAAAAATAAGAATAAATTAGCAAAGTGAATTTAGATATCTCATGCTATCTTGTTTAAAATTTATTTTTTATGGAATAATAGGAAATGTTATGTTTTGTTTACTTGTTTCTTTTTAAGTGCTGAATTCATTGTCCAGAGCAGTCATGAAGCAAATTGAAATGTTGAAAGCCAGCCATAAATTAATAAAACATCAGTGAAGTAAACTACATATTAAATTCTGTCTGGTCAGAACTATATAAAAAGTAATGTTAACAGAAACTTTATCAAAATCTTTGCTGCTTGTGCTCTGGTCTCTTTATTTCTGCTCCGACTAGCGTTCACCCACTGTCTGGCTCAGAGCTGTCAGCTAGCTGGGCTTGACAGTATTTGCCTGTTCTCACCTCTCTGGTGCTTTCTTGGTGCAATGAAAAGGTAGTTTAACTTCACTGAACATGGTGAAGATGCATGCTTATGCAGAAGCTGATTGAATGGTTATACTAGTTTCTTAATGGGACCTAAGTGCCATGTAACTAGTGTGTAGTGAGACATGGCTGAGTGATCAAACAAGAGGGTAGAGATACTAAAAATCTCCATCCTGAAACATTTTGAATTGCAGGGTAGTTTTAAAAACATAGAAAGTATTTTAAAAGCATTGCAGCTTGATTGGTTGGATGACATATAGTGGCTTTTTCTACCTATACCTCGTGCAAAGCAGATTGGATATCATGCTTATATTGATAAATTTCAAGTAAATTCACAGGAAGCAATAAGGGATACAGGTTGCAGCTGTATTGGTCTACAGGCAGAAGGAATCAGAATTCTGGGTAGAGGTGATATCTTTTATTAGACCAACTAGATATTTACAAAAAAATTCCTTATTTGCAAGCTTTTGGGCGCACACATCCTTCAGGCATAGGAGAATGAAAAGATTGTAAAATTTCTCTGAAGTGGAAGTGAAAATTCATATTTCACAGGAGAGTTGAAGGGGTTGTACTTCAGGGGACAGTAATGAGCTCTGGTACTCAAACTAAAGCATTATCAGGTTAAAAGTCACATGGTTTGTGGGTTTTCAGTGTCTAGTAGTTCATAGGGTGCCATTCCAGATGTAGATTGTGGTTGATGGAAAGCTGATGTTCATGTAGGAGTATTCTAGAGAAAGTTTGATCAAGGGTGGGGGATAGTTGTTACACCTGTGATGGACGTCAATAAGTGAGTCCAGAAGTTTAGTCCAGATGATGAAAATATCACAGACAAAATGCAAGTTTGGTGCAGTTTTCCAGAAATACCTCCTCTAGGGGGCTTATGAACTGGTTGGCCTATTGAAGGGCCATCTTAGTGCCCATGGTTTAGAGGAAGTGTCAGTTGTTGAAAGTGAAGTTGTTGTGGGTGAGAAAGAAGTGGATGATTTGTGTAGCTTTGCAAATCTCAGTGTACTCCATAGTTTTTGTAGGTATTTCAGGCAAGCAGCTGTACCTTCATGGTGTGGGATGTTATTGGCTTATGCATGTACTTGTGATAAAATGAAAGTTACATTGGTAATGGTTTTCAAAGTCAGTATAATATACTTTTTAAACTAATGTAAAAAATAAATTAAATGTCAGAATTAGAATTTGAAAGGGTGTTTTGATCCTTGTCGACACTGATATGTGCATTTTGATTGAGAATGCTTACAAACAATCGTTTCACTCTGTTCTGGCGTTACATTTATCAGTAATTTTATGCTATTATAGTATCTGATTAGTCATATTTTTATCAGTTACTGTGACGATATAGGAGATGTGAAAGGAATATATTTTGTATGTAAAAGGTGCTTTGTGTCCCATCTTCCACAAAAGTTCCTGGCTATTGAGGATGGGATTATGGACTATTTGACTATATTCCTGTAGTTCCTGTAATTGACTATATTCCTGTAGTTCCTCTAGTTCTTAGTCCCCCCCCTCAGTCCTGATTTCAAAACAAAATAAGAAGGGTTAGTTTTCTTACAAAAAGTAATTAAGCAAGGATTTTTCTTCTGTTTACATGTTTTATTCCAGAACCAGTTTTCAGTCTGTTTGCATACACAGATAAAAACACAGCTGTGCATAGTCGAATTATTTGGTCTTGTGATTGGACCCCAGATAGCAAGTATTTTATTACTGGAAGCCGAGACAAAAAGGTAACTAATACAAAAATAACTAAAAGAAAGACAGTATAAACATGTAAATGAGACTTGGTTTTAAATAAATGTATTTGGTTTTAGCAGATGTTTTATTCTTTCAATTTCTAAACATATGCATACGGTTTAGCATACGCATTAATATTACCATCGAAGACAGAGGAGGGTACTTGAGTTTGCAATTTTCAACATGTATAATGTTATAGTCTAGGTATAGGGGCATAATTCTTAATTAATTCGTGATTGTCTATTGTCAACTTAAAAAAATGAAAATCCTGGCTCCCTGGTGTAGCTAGGAATCCTCACTGTTTTGCAGCCCACCAGGGGGTGGAAGGCACCAGCTGGTGTGATGTCACAAAGGGCAGCCAGCAGCCAAAATGGCAGCTGCCCCCTTGTCCCTCCTCCCCTCCTCTCCCATGGCCTATCTGCCAATCAATAGCAAGGGACCAAGGCCGTATGAAGGGCAGCTAGCAGCCAAGATGGTGGCCACCCGCTTGTCCCTCCTCCCCACCCCGGCTTCTCTCCACCAGTCAGTGGCAAGGGGTAGGAGTGAGAGGACATGCAAAATCAGCTTTTCATGCCATGACCAAGTTGCAAATTGTCCTTTTTCTGGCCATGAATTAAGTAGGTCCCTACCTATGAATATTAAGAAAACATGTTAATCTTTTTTACTCTGACATATGGAGTTCATGCTGTATGTAATTTTCCGTACGTGCCCTGTATGTAAGTTTCTGTAACCTGTTTCACTTCTCACTCTTATAAATGGACCTACATTTAGCAACTATTACTGTATTTATTTGAATCTAAAATGAGGTCTTCCCTCCCTCATTTAACTTGGGGGAAACCCCTCATCTTAGATTTGAGTATGGGAGGGGGGCAACTGCTGCAGTTCTGGCTCCAGCCCCGACCTGAGTCACAGCCGCAGCTGCTGCCTGCTCCACTGTTGCTTCTGCTCCTCCTGCTCTGCTTTGGCAGGCTCTGCTCCTGCTCCGGCTAGGACATGGAGCACAGCCCTAGCCTGACCCAGTAGTGGTGGCAGCAGCATCTGTAGCTGCAGCTGCAGCTCCAGCCAAGACCCAGAGCTGGGGCCAGAGCTGCCATGATTGGCTTGCTGCTACCAGGCCAGGTAGTGAGGTCAGACTGCTGCAGGGGGTGGGATGGAGGGCACGCACAGGGGCACGCACAGGGTGGGTTTGGCACGCACAGGGTGGGTTTGGCATAGGTCTGGGGGAGTAGTGGGGGAGCAGGTGGCAGCATGTAAGGGACAGAGGTTAAGATGCTTGATCCCGACTGCCTGCTTTCCTCACTGCGGTATTAGAGGTTTGAATTTTAAGATAAAATCTCCAATAATTGGATTCTATATGTGGAAAATTGTAATGATTTTGTAAATTTTCCATTTATAGAATCTAATAATTGGAGTTATCTTAAATTTAGGCTCACCTTGGATTCAGAAAAATACAGTATCAGTGTCTTTAATAATGCCATTCTAAACTGTTTTTAAGAGACTTGAAATCATGTGAAAGGAACTGTCAAATATCGGGTGGCGGGGAGAGGGGGTGGCATATGAGGGCAAGAGGAGACTTGGTCAGAATACCTCCACAGTATAATGCAGAAGTATTGTTTCTCTTGATGTTCTTCTAAGTACAGGTACACAAAACCTTTTACAGGGAATGATTCCAGAACTGTTTCTTTTATTTCAAATAGGTCGTGATCTGGGGTGAGTGCGATGCAACCAGAACTACTGAAGGGAGGGCATTAGATAAGATCAAGCCATGTTCTACAGTAATGGATGCTGGAGATTCAGTCACTGCAGTCAGCATCAGCCAAGTACTTGCTCCTGACAAAAGGTGATGTTCAGCCTTTGTGTTCTAGAATGGGTGGGCAACCTTTTCTTGCTGCCAGCCAGAATGACCCACCCTGGGCCAGAGATTGGGGAGCAGGGAGGTTCTAGGATACCACCAACACTTGTGCCCATAGCTCCTTGTCTGCAGGCTGGATCCAACCTGTAGGTGATAAGTTGCTGATGTCTGCTCCTGAAATTCGCTTTTGTTGAAGATGATACTTATTTCCCACTTTAACCAATTCTCTGTGTAGCTTAAATATTGGCTTTTAAAACTTGTGAAATGTGTAAAAGATATACAATACTCTGGCCTTATGCCTCTTCTAACCTACGTGTTTTTCTTTCTTTTAATGGGATATTTTGTTTTAACTCGTGTTTTCTTGAATTGCTCTTTTTCAATAGCTACATTATTGCAATAGGGTTAGAGTGTGGGAAGATTAATGTATACACATGGAAGCAGTGTGAGGAGAAATCAACATTAAATGACTGGACCAAATGTCTTGAGACTGACAACAGGTATGCATTCTGGGTGGGCAAAAGGGTTCATGAGTTACCTAGACATACCCTATCAACAGTAAAGAATAATTTCCTTAAGATTTGGATCAAAGCCTCACAATCCTCTAAGATGCTTAAACAGGATTTAATTAAAATTTAGGCATCATAAGGAATATCTAATCAACCCCTTCAGTAGCCACAAAACTCATTAGGCATCTAGATTAATTGAATCCTTCACTTTGTCCTGAAAAGATTCCTAAGCGCTTATTCTTGGGTTACTGAGTATACCCAATATGTGATCAGCTGCCTAGGAGCAATCCAAGTCAGTGCTTGGAGCCACCTAAATCCCACCTGTTTACCTCATTTCTTTATGCAAGGACAGACCATGCCTACAGCTGATCCATGCTGAGAATGTGTGCAGCTCAATATGTAGTGATGATGTCTTTCTTTTGCCCAGTAGCCTAGTTACTGGTCAAGTGCTGTTGCTGCTAAGTGGAAGATCTGGATTCCGAGTCCTTCTTTCCCT